GGCGGCGGGCCCGATTCTGCGGCTTTCAGGTCCGACGCGGCCTTTACAGCTCCAAGGAAGCTTCCACTCCTTCAAAACGCGTACTCAGCCACGGAAAGCCCGCAGAGCCCCCCGGCCAACGCCCCAGCACTCGATCTTCCGCGCTCAGCCGCCTGCCGCCGCCGCAGCTCTTTCCCCGCTTTCTGCCGACAAATTCCCAAATAGAAAAACTGCTTCCAAAATTAACCTCCAAATGGACTTCTTTTGATCCCCTTTGCGCCCAAAGACGCGCGGGAAGGCCTCCGCTCCAGCAGCTGCGGCCTACGGTTTCCAGGCAGCCTACGTTCACTCTCTCCTCCCAGCCCCATCTCGACCACGCCTCCGCTGCTTCCGCTTATCCTCTTCGCCAAATAATTCAAAATTAAAAACGCCAATTTCAAAGTTCAAAAATATCAACAAACGACTCTGGCACGGGGAAGCTCCCGGCGCGCGCACCTCCTCGATCGAGGTGTATGTACACTCTAGATACAGGACAAACGCAGAATGCTGCGGTGTTGTCCTTTCGCTTTGCTTTTTTCACTCGTTTCTCAAATATCTAAGAATTAATAAACCCGCAAAACTCAAAGTCGCCCCAAAATAATGCAGTGCGAACCCGGAAGCCACCAGCCTCGGGGAGCCGTGGCAACTGGGGTTAGCCTTCTACTCTAGCGACTGCAGCAGCACTTTGACCTACCGGAAACTGCCTGCAACTCAGCTTACTGTCTTAGCCAAAAATGGCAACAACTTTTATGTTAGGGCTCTATATTAATGCCCTAGACTGGGGTATAATGCTGGACACTGCAACCAGCACCAAACAGGCCCTCTGGCCAACAAAAATAAGAAAAAGATCCATTTTCTGTATATCTGGGGGGCCCCGGGGGCCCCCAGACTCTACAGGCCCAGCTAAAAGGCCTGCTTTGGGGGCCTTCAGTGCCTGTGGCTGCACTGCGCAGCTGCTTTCAATAGAAAGGGTTGAGCTTTTGTGCAAGAACTCCAAAATGTTTGGTTCAAAACACTTTTGTTTGTTTAAATAAAAGAGTTTATTAAGTGCATAGGCCTTGGATTGGGATAGCAGCTCAACAGAAAAAGCGAAAGCTAAGAAAGATAATAAGTGCTGCAACAAGAGGCTGCTGGGGCTACTTTAATACTGAACTTGGGTGTATAGACACTCCGAAAGTGAAATAAAATCAAAGTTAATGTGAGAAAAATAGACATAAAGAGAAACAGACTCAATAACTAAATCTTTTTGGCAATTTGAATGAATTCTATGGAGCTCATTTGCAGCGTTAGATTTAATTCTACCATTTATTACTTTTCCAAATCATTTATTTCTTTTTGAGAAACCTTTCCAACGAATTTCATTTCTCGAAAATATCTTCAAGAACTCTGCAGCTTCACGAAGATCTTGTGCTGCTTAAAGCCTTCTTAGATGCCTCTGCGCAATCTCTTAATTTTATTTTCTTTTAACTTTCAAATTTATTAATTCAAAAAGTTTTGAAATAATAAACCACCAGAAGCCCTCTTGGACTCAGGCGTATTCCGCAAATTTTTTGCTTTCTTTTTTGTATCTTTTTATTCCACCATTAATTATAGTTCTTTCAATTGCACTTTTCTAAATATTTCAAAACTCTGGAATAGTTTTAAATAAAATAAATCCTATCAGACTTAAATTTGCAAAGAATTTAATTTCGCCATTTGTTGCCATGTGCAATCAAGATTATCTCCGATTCCGAATTATTCAGCATAAGATGTTTCCTAAAACCCGTACATATATATATAAATATATATATATATATTTATATATCTATATATATATAAATGTATATATATATATATAAATATAATATTTATATATATATGTACGTATAAGTATAAATACAAATATATTGTTATAATATATATAAATAAGTACATATATAGATATATGTATATATATATACATATGTGTTTATATACATTCTTTGCTATTTGCAAGACCCTGAGTGAGAGTGCCATTCAACTTAATCTCTGTGCCTTTACCACATCAATTGTCACTTTACAAGAATATAATAATTCGCGTTAACTTCAACTTCAAATGAATAAAACTAATCAAATGCTTTCTGTCTTCCATCTTCTCCAATTTCTTTCTAATTGTGCAACAGTTCAGAAGTTATGATCTTCAAATAAAACTAACCAAACCCTTTCTGCCTTCCCGTCTTCTCCAATTTATTTCTAATTAAGCAGCAGTTCTCAGTTTATGATCTTTTGTCCCTATATATACATACATATATATATATATGTGTATATTATATATATATAATATATAATATATATATATATATAATCAGCTCTGGAGCTTCAAGCAGCTTCTTCAGTTTCCCTAGCCTCTCTTCTACGGCCACTCCAGCAGCACATCTGAATGGCCTTTTGCTTTCTTCTATAGAACTTGTTTGGTGCTATTTTTATCTTTTTGGCTAAGAGGCTGAGAGGAAACCTATATTTCTCGTTAATTGTCGCACTCTAGAACAGCTAGCGCTTCCCGGAAAGGTACCTTTGAACGAAATCTTTAGTGTTGCAGCAGAGTTCAATGCCTTCATGAGAACTACATGATCTAGAAAAGATAAATTCGTTCAAGTTTTTTTAATTCAGATTTAAACGGTGCATTCGCTGTTTTCACCGAATGCCTGTGTCATATAATGGAAATTGAAACTTTTTTCCTTTCTTGAAATTCAAGAAAGCGGAAAAAGTCAGAGTCAACTTTGCTGCAGGCAGCAAATTAAAAGCAAGCCCATGGAGTGACTCAGAGTCATTCAGAAAAGGTCTTTCCTACGACATAAAAGGGCATTCTGAATGCGGGAAAAGTTTCATGAGTTCACCCAGCAGGCTGTGCAGAAAGCCTGGCCGAGTCTTAGTACTCTACCCGAAGCGAAGTTAAAGACACAAAGACAATACAAATGCATGCATTTCTGCAATTATAAGTCCACACTTGGCTGCTAACCAGCTGCTGCAGCTTGCTGGCGAGCCAGCCTGCAGGCCGTCTTTGAAACTGGAATGCAGCTTTTTGTCTGTTGCTGGGGGTTGACGTTGGCGAGCGGAGCTGGCCCTAATTGCAGAAACCAAAGAAAGAGGAGTTCAATTGTTGTAAGAGTCTGAATGGACTTCGCGCGAAGGAACTCAGCTGGGAACAAAGCCACGTCCTGAGTTGAATTGCGGAGCCTCGGGAGCCTCTGCCTCGCGACAAGCTCTCAAATTGAACATTAGTTAAGTGAGTTAAATGAATTATGGACCTTTTGTTCACTACTATACGGGCGTGGTTCAAAACAAAGAGTTCCACACTGGGGCTGCTGCAGTGCGGAAAGCTGAACTTGCAAAGTGGCTCCGCGGCTGACTCCGTCGCATGCACTCGCACTGCCTTGGCGCTGTGAAGCAGCACTTGCTGCATTTAAAAAGCTGCGGCGCATGCAGCCCCAAACCCGCATGTACTTTGCCCTGGATGCACTCCCCCACTGGCTTTCGTGCATGCAAGTGCTTTCAGGCCCCAAAGGACTTGTGCAGACTTTTCTCCACTTCGAAGCCACTGCGGGGCGCCACACAGGGCGTGGGGGCACAGCAAACCCCCAAGCCCTACACGCTTCGAAGCCGTAAACCCTAGACTTCCGAAACCCCAAACCCTCCACCCTTCCGAAGCCCTGAGCTCGGAGGCCATCCGAAAACGTTAACCCTACAAGCGCCAGAAACCCTGAAGCCCCGGAGGCCCGGGAAACCCTAAACCCTCGGGGCCCGGGAAACCCTAAACCCTCGAGGAGCGGGAAGCCCCGGAGTTGCGGCGCGGCGCGGCGAAATAAAAGTTTCAAATGAAGCCGCCGGGCGGAAGCCTCGAAGCGCGTGCATGCAGAGGCCGCGTTCGGCCTTGCCTTTGAAAAATAGAACCGCAAGAATAAAAACAACGCGGCCAAAACCGGGGCCCCCTTGGCCCCCCTTGGCCGCCCTTGGCCGCCCTTGGCCGCCCTTGGCCCCCCGGGGCCCCCCTTGGCCC